AATGACTGGGCAGAATGTTTAAAAGGCATGTTCCGCGATTTTGAACCTAAGTTCCTCCATTTTTGTGCGTTTTTAGAGCTTTTTGGAGAGGATTGAAGAGGGAATCAAGGAGGAACACTTGGAGGTAAGAATTTTGGACTTAATATCAATTCTAATGTGATTTCTACCTATTTAATCATGGAAATTATGGAAAATAAACCTAAAAATTAGAAGTTAGGGCTTGGGAATTGGAGACCTAAATCTAGGGATTTGAGGGGCCATTTCTAGTCGGATTTTGAAGTATTTGATATGCATGAACTCGTGGGAAGATGAGGGTTCCATTGATTTTAATTTTGTCGGATTCCGAGACGTGGGCCCGGGGGCCAAGTTTGGCCAATTTCGGGATTTTTGGTATAAATTGAATATTTTTGAGTGGGCTTTGTTCCCTTAGCATATTTGGATGGTATAAATCTGTTTTTGGATAGATTTGGAGCATCCGAAGGCCAATTCGAGAGGCAAAGGCATGGCGGGCTAGAGATTGGACGGGATAGAGGTAAGTAATGATTGTAAATACTGTTCTGAGGGTATAAAACACACATCGTTGTGATACTTTGAGGTGACGCACACGCTAGATGGCGAGCGTGGGGTCGTGCACCGTTGGGGATTGTGACTTGGTCCACCCCGTACGCTATTAAGTCGCGTATTTTACTTGAAAACTATTGATATTGCTGTATTTTGGAAAATATTATTGTGTTTGGGGCTAAATGTCGTGTCTGGGCCTTGTGCCGATTGTTTGGACTCTTAGGGCTTTTACTACTGTTTTACCTCACTGTTTTGGTTAATTTTTGCACTCAGTCATGCTATTTTCTTACTGTTTTTCATAACTCGATTTTATTCACTCCTTTTGATTTCATAAATGATTTTGAGCCGAGTACTTGTTTTACCGTCAGCCGAGGGGCTTGAGTGAGATCTGACTAAGTGAGGCTGAGGGCCTGTATTGTGAGGATACTATGGGATCGGGCTACGCTGCAGCATGTGGTACCGATTGTGATATATGAGAGGCCGAGGGCCTGATTTATTATGCCACGAGGTGGCTTGTGATTGATATGAGGCCGAGAGCCTATTTGATTATGCCACGAGATGGCTTGATATTGCGCTTGGGCCGTAAGGGGCCCCTCCCGGAGTCTGTACACCCCCAGTGAGCGCGGGTAACCAGTGTGTGATGTGTTGTAGCCCGAAGGGCTATTATTGTTTCATATTGAAGCCCGGGGGGCTGTTCTTGATCTATGTTGCCCAAGGGGTGGTTCTTGATTCATGTTATGCTCTAGGGGCTGATTGCGAGTGATATTGAGGTAGCCCGAGGGGCTGGTTTTGTTGATATTATGCCCGAGGGGCGGTTTATGGTACATGTTTTGTCCGATGGGCTGTTTACGTCTCTATCATTTTTACTCACTGTTTTTATCACTCGTTTTGAAACTATTGAAAGCTGTTTTAAAAAGGAAAAGGTTTTTACTAAAATTGAGCATGATTTACAAAGTAAATAATTTCTGTAGTGTTTTGGAAATGTACTGCATTTGCTGTAGCGTTATGACGTGGCTTACGTGTTTTCTTACTGCTCAGCTTTCATTTACTTTTATTACTTACTGAGTTGGCGTACTCACATTACTCCCTGCAGCTTGTGTGCAGATTCAGGTATTATTTTGAACCCGGTAGCGGGTGTTGATTGCTCAGTGGCAGAGTCATTGGAGTTAGCAAGGTAGCTGCTCGACGTTCGCAGCACTGCTTTTTCTCCCTCTTGTCTTCCTTAGACTGTATTTAGTACATTTTAGATTCTTAGTTGTGTTCAGACCTTAGTAGATGCTCGTGACTTGTGACACCCCGATGTCGGGCTTGTGTATTTATTCCGCATTGTTCATTTAGACTTACATTACGATATATATATCTGATTAATTAAAGGCTTAAAAGAGATTGTTATTGAATAATGGTTAATTCGGGAGTTGTGTCGGCTGGCCTAGTTCCACGATAGGCGCCATCACGGCCGCGTCGATTTTAAGGTCGTGACAATATCGAAACGTGAGGACAACCATTCCTTTACTGAATTCAACATGCTCACATTATTTCCTATGAGACAAATATCATCTACGTACAAAACCAAAAATATAACTTTATCTCCATTGCACTTCTTATAGACACAAGACTCATTTTCACATTGGTCAAAACCGAAGGTTTTAATCGATGCGTCAAAACAAGTGTTCCATGCCCTAGAAGCTTGTTTCAATCCATAAATGGATTTCTTTAATTTACATAACATGTGCTCATTGCCACTTTTTATGAAACCAACTGGTTGTGCCATATAGATGCACTCATCAAGACTTCCATTTAGAAAAGCCATCTTGACATCCATTTGCCAAATCTCATAATCGTAATGAGCAGCAATGGATAAGAGAATCCTAATGGATTAAAGCATGGCTACTGGCAAAAAGGTTTCCTCATAATCGATCCCTTCTTTTTGAGTAAACCCTTTTGCAACAAGCCTAGCTTTAAAAGTTTGCACTTTTCCATCCGCTCCTCTCTTTTTCTTATAGATCCATCGACAACCAATGGGTTTGACTCCAGTAGGTGGTTCTACAAGATCCCAGACTTGATTGAAGTACATGGACTCCATTTCAAATTTCATAGCATCAACCCATTTATCAGCATCTATATCCTGTAGTGCTTCATCATAATTAATAGGTTATGTATTAGGCTCTTCAGGGATTCTATCATAAGATTTTCCCAAGAGCGAAAACCGAAGAGGTTTTCTAATAATTCTCCCACTACGACTAGTCACTACAGGTGGAGGCTGATTTTGTTGTTGAATCACAACATCATTTTCTGGAAATGAAGCCTCAAATCCGCCACACCTTGCGATTCTAGGATATCATTAGCTTCTTTCTGGAGTGCAGGCTGCAGAACAATTTCAGGTTGTTCAACAATATGAGGTTGCTCAACAATCTGAGGTTGCTCAACATTAATCCTACTACTTTGGGGTAGCGAGATGTCAGGCAATTGCTCTTATGCAATCTGCTGCCTACTGACATTTCTCCCACTACGATAATGCAGTGGTATGTCAATACTGGCTACCGGGATACGTTCTAGAGATGAGTCTTTAGTTACTCCATTATTTAATTACTGTAAAACTAGTTTACTTCTAGGAATATAGTTTGTTAAATAGTCCTCTTCTAAAAATCTGGCATTTGTCGTAACAATTACCTTCTTTTCTTTGGGACAATAAAACAAACCGCCTTTAGTTCCTTTTGGATATCCATTAAAAACGCACACTTCTGTCCTTGATTCTAATTTATCCGCTTTTCCTTTCAGCACACGTGCTGGACAACCCCAAACCCGAATATGCCATAAAATTAGTTGTGCGCAGTCCACAATTCTACTGGAGTTGAAGGTACTGACTTTGAAGGAACCAAATTTAGAATGTAATTTAATGTTTCTAAAGTATATCCCCAAAAGGAAAAAGGCAAATCGGAGTAACTTAACATTGATCTAACCATTTCCATAAGGGTCCTATTTCTTCTTTCTACCACACCATTTTGTTGTGGTGTTCCTGGGGCAGATAATTGAGATGCAATTCCACTATCTGAGAAGTATTTTACGAATTCCGCAGAAAGGTATTCACCACCATGATCAGATCGCAATGTTTTGATATATTTATCATGTCGTTTCTCCGTTTCTGTCTTAAATTCTTTCAATTTCTCAAAGCATTCAGACTTACGTCGCAACAGATAAATATATACATATTTTGAGTAATCATCTGTGAAAGTCACAAAATACTCAAAACCACCTCTTGCTTGTATATTCATAAGGCCACACAAATCAGAGTGAATTAATTCTAGCTTATCGCTGGCTCTATTTCCTTTTGAGGGAAAATGTCTCTTGGTCATTTTACCTTCACATGTTGGTAATGACTCCACTTTCAATGAACTCAAAGGTCCATCTGAGACCAATCTTGAAATCCTATTTAGATTTATATGACCTAGACGTAAGTGCCACAAATAAGTTTGACTCAATTCACAAATATGTTTTCTTTTATGTGGCAGATTAATGTTATTTAATTCTTTTGGTTGTTGTATCACATGAGGAGATATATCAAGAATGAAAAGGTCATGTACTCTAGCAGCAGTGTAGATAAAATGTTTATTAAACTTAATAACAGCAGAGTTATTAGCAAAATAAATATTATAACCAGCATCCATTATTTTCGAAATCGAAATCAAATTCCTTCTAATAGAAGGTACATAGAGAACATCTTTTAAAACTAAAACTCCATCACTACTAAACGAAACTCTGATATCTCTTAAAGCTAAAGCTGGTGCTGGCTCGCCATTGACTTGAAAAATGCAAACTTCATTCTCACTTAGCCGCCGCATTTCCTAAAACCCCTGCAAAGTAGTGCAGATGTGATTAGTGGCTCCTGAATCTACATACCAAAAAATGGTAGAAACAGCCGCTAAACAAGTTCCAACGACATTTAAATTTGTTTTACCTTGCTTATTCAACTTTGCCAGATAGGCAGGGCATTGCTTTTTGTGATGCCCAGGTTGCTTGCAATGATAGCACTTGCCTTTGGGCTTTTTCACACCAGCCGCACCAGCAGGTGCTAAAACCTTTTGAGCCTTCTTCTTTCTCTTACTGCCTTTCGACTTAGAAACCGAAGCTTTCTCAACATTGAGTGCCACAATTGGAGCTTGTTGTTTGATAATAGATTCTGCCGCTTGCAGCTCATTCAACAATTTCGCTAGTGACAAATTCATTTTGTTCATATTATAGTTCAAGCGGAATTGTTGAAAACTGTCAGGCAGAGTCAGCAAGTCCATCTCAACTTGAGACTCCTTATCAATCACAGCTCCGAGGACCTCCAGTTCATTCAGAAGACTCATCATCTTCAGAACATGGCCCCTGACCGATGATCCTTCAGCCATCTTGGTGTTCAAAAGGGCTTTCATGGCTGTCTGCTTAGCTGCACGATTCTACTCACCGAACATCTCTTTGAGACTTTCGAGCATATCATAAGTAGATCCCATAGACTGATGCTGATGTTGCAAAACATTCACCATAGAGGCAAGAATGTAACATCGCGCCATCTCATCAGCCTTAACCCATTTGTCATAGGCCTTAACCTGATCATCAGTGGCATTTTCAGGTTTTTCTGGGCACTCCTCAGTGGTTACAAATTTGTAACCTTCAACAGTTAGGACAATATCAAGGTTCCTTTTCCAGTCAACATAATTAGGTCCTTCTAACTTGTTTTGGTTCAAAATTGAGGTAAGTGAGTTGAATGAAACATGGTTAATCTGAGAGATATTCATATTAAATAGATCGTTAGTTATGTATTTAGAATAATTAAATTCAAAACAACACATTACACATATAACCATGCTCATTGAACAGTTAGATTGGTTAGGGAAACTTAACTATTCATGCAAGATATATGAGTGATGTAAGATATTTATCCCATAAATTTAAATAGGACCAATTCAGATGGAGAGCAAACTGTTAATTTAAGATAGGTAAATATCACTTTTATAAACTCTAGTTTTATTGAATCAACATGTAACTCAGTTGGAGAGTTAATACAAGTAATCAAATAACTAGAGGAAAACTACAGTAATCATCTATAATGAATTTATCCGATATGGAAGAAGACCTATGTCAACATATAAATTCATTATAGTACTGTAAAACATAGAGGCAATGTGAATTGAACCCTACCATCACATATTTCTTTTAAAAAAATTCTTTTATTAAAAACAATTTCAGAAAATAGAAAAATGGCCAAAAAACCATCTAAACGACCCCGAATGCCCAAAAAATGACGTACCTCAAAGCTAATGTGTATTGCTCACCGGGCCGTTTTCAATGAACCTACCAAATTTGAGGTCAATCGGAGTTCGACAGAATTTCGAATTCCAAAATCATGACCTATTTGTAGAATTCTGTTTTTGGCATTTTTAAGGGTTTTTATTATTTCGACTTATTCAAATTACGTAATATACTGATGTATGTTAAAACATGATTTCAGAACTCAAAATAATATTTTTATAATTATTTATTAAAAATATGTTCAGACAGAATTGTAAAAAAAATAGTATATTTTTCACCGTTCAAAAACACCACTGTTCATAATTCTGTATATTAATCCAAAATTACATAACCAATAGCATACAAAACAGTCAAGTTTTTATTAATATAACACTGTGATTATGGACAAAACGCAACTAAAACAGATTAATAGTATTAATTAACTGTTTATGCATATGTATACTAACCCATAATTACAGAATTAATAGCATTAAAATACAGTCACGTTTTTATTAAAAACAAATTGCTATTAATCAAAAACGTAATTAAACAGACTGTCAATAAATATAACACCACTGTTTATACATGTGCATATTAATTCATAATTTCAGAATTAAGATACTAACAAATACAATCACGTTTTTGACATAGAATAATCATACCAAACATGTATCAAGAAACAACACGTTTTATTATTACTCTATTCATGTTGTATTACATTATCTAGTTAGATGTAAGACGGCGTCTGATACCAATTGTTAAAACATGCGCAACGGCAGCAAGCATACAAACCAGGCATCAAATACATGTAAACTAGACAATGCTATAATCGCTAGATTAGAAGCACTAATCTCTTGAAATCGTTGCACAAATCTTTCACACAACAAGAATCCAGGGCTGCAGTCTTCTGCTATATGCCTAGTAAAACCTTTGGACGATTTTGCTTTTGGGTGGGAAAGAGCAATACAACTCTAAAAAGTAAGTTATTGGGTGAAATTAGTCTTCCTTTAATAGACTTATTTTTGGACGAAATTTAGCTCCAAAAACGTGTAGGACTCTGCTTTTACAAATAGAATCCTACTCCAGCTCTACTAGATGACTTTCTCCCAAGTCACTTTTTACCCAAGTCTTGTCCAGGTTTTTACTAGGTATAGAAGGGACCACATAAATAATAAGAGTCTACCAATTATAGCATTAATTCAAAATTAGCATGAATTAATTCTTACTATAATTAATTGCAATTTATTCCACTAAAAACTGCAATTGAACTCCTCAATATGAATTTTAAAAATTCAATAACACTTATTTTAATTCCCCATGTTAAGTTCTCAAATACCAGTTAATTAAATTAAATCACTGAAAATTTAATTTAACCAACTAATTAAATCATTTACAATTTCGCTTAAACTATTTCATGTGACGGATACAAAATCCACCGGCCGCGTTTTCACATAAAAACTTATATGCTTACATAAAAAGGTATCATCAAACTCAAAACTGAGACATGGATTCTATCAACTAATTATTATTCACAAATGTTACTCAGGAAGTGCTAGGGGTAAGAATAGAATAGGTATTATAGTTGACAGGGACCTCAGGAAGCTCGTGGTCGAGGTTAGGAGGGTAAATGATAGGTTGATGAGTATTAAGCTTGTAGTTGGTGGGTTTACTATAAACGTGATTAGTGCATACGCTCCTCAGGTTGGTTTGGACCAGGAGGTCAAGAAGCAATTCTGGGAGGATTTGGACGAGATGGTGTGTAGTATCCCGCAAACAGAGAAGTTGTTCATTGGTGGATATTTCAATGGCCATATTGGGGCTAGTGCTAGGGGTTATGATGATATGCATGGCGGGTTTGGTTTTGGGGATAGGAATAAGGGAGGTATTCACTGTTGGATTTCGCTAGAGCTTTTGATTTGGTTATAGCTAACTCGAGTTTTCCGAAGAGAGAAGAGCACCTGGTCACTTTTCAGAATTCAATGGGCAAGACTCAGATTGATTATCTTCTCTGCAGGAAATGCGATAAAGGTCTGTGCACTGATTGCAAGGTCATCCCAAGTGAGCACCTCACGACCCTACATAGGCTCCTAGTTATGGACCTAGAGATCAAGAGGAGTAGGAGGAAGAGGGCGGTGTGTAGGCAACCTAAGATCAAGTGGGGTAACTTGACCAAGGACAAAGCTCAGGAGTTGGGGGAGAAGTTGTTGGCTATGAGGGCCTGGATGAGTAGGGGGACGCGTCTAGTATGCGGTTCACGACTGCGAGTTGCATTAGGGTAGCTGCTAAAGAGGTCTTAGGGCTCACGAAGGGCTCTCCTGGGGGTCATAGAGGGGACTGGTGGTGGAATGGAGAGGTCCAAGGTAAAGTGGAAACTAAGAAAACTGCTTATTTGAAGCTAGTGGAGAGTATAAACGAGGAGGAAAAAATGACTTATCGGGAGTGTTAAAGAAAGGCAAAGAAAGAGGCAAAGTTAGCAGTTACAACGTCTAAAAATGCGGCGTTTGCTTGTTTGTACGAGGAGCTCGGGGGAAAAGACATGGACAAGAAGTTGTACCGGTTGACCAAGGTGAGGGAGAGGAAGGCCTGTGACTTAGACCAAGTCAAGTGCATCAAGGACGAGGATGGCAAAGTATTGATGGACGAGGCACTTATTAGGAGAAGATGGCAGACATACTTCAATAAACTGTTGAACGAGGAGGGGGATAGATGCATTGTGCTGGGTGAGTCGGAGCACTCCAAGAGTCGGTGGGATTTTGGGTACTGTAGGCGGATTTCGGTAGAGAAGGTGGGAGGGGCGATGCGTAAGATGTGCAGGGGCAGAGCGACGGGACCAGATGAAATTCCGGTAGAATTTTTGGAAGAGCGCGGGGCGAGCAGGTTTGGAGTGGCTCACTGGGATGTTTAATGTTATTTTTAAGACGAAGAAGATGCCCCAAGAATGGAGGTGGAGTACGATGATTCCGCTTTACAAGAACAAGGGTGATATTCAAAATTGCAATAATTATAGGGGTATCAAGTTATTGAGTCACACTATGAAGATTTGGAAGAGGGTGGTGGAGGCCAGGGTGAGGAGGTGCGAGTCTATTTCCGAGAATCAGTTTGGATTCATGCCGGGGCGTTCGACTACGGAAGCGATTCATCTGGTAAGGAGATTAGTGGAGCAGTACAGGGAGAGGAAGAAGGACTTGCATATGGTGTTTATTGACCTTGAGAAAACGTATGATAATGTCCTGAGGGAGGTCCTGTGGAGGTGTTTGGAGGCTAGCGGCGTTCCGGTAGCGTACATTATGGTGATTAAGGATATGTATGAATATGCTAAGACTCGGGTGAGGACCGTGGGTGGTAATTGGGAGCATTTCCCTGTGGTGATGGGGTTGCACCAGGGATCGGCTCTTAGCCCGTTTTTATTTGCCTTAGCGATGGATGTATTGTCGCGACACATCCAAGGAGAGGTGCCTTGGTGCATGCTATTTGCCGATGATATAGTGTTGATTGAAGAGACGCAAAGCGGAGTTAACGCGAGGTTGGAGGTTTGGAGACAGACCTTGGAGTCTAAAGGTTTCAAATTGAGTAGAACCAAAACAGAATACTTTGAGTGCAAATTATGTGATGAGACCCATGAAGCAGACGTAGAGGTAAAGCTTGATGCTCAAGTTATCCCCAAGAGAGCGAGTTTAAGTATCTCGGGTCTATTATCCAAGGTAACAGGGAGATTGACGAAGATGTCGCACATCGCATCGGAGCGGGATGGATGAAGTGGAGGCTCGCTTCCGGTGTTTTATGTGATAAGAATGTGCCTCCAAGTCTTAAAGGTAAGTTTTATAGAGTGGTGGTTCGACCGGTTATGCTATATGGGGCGGAGTGTTGGCCAGTCAAGAACTCCCACGTGCAGAAGATGAAAGTAGCAGAGATCAGGATGTTGAGATGGATGTGTGGGTGTACCAGAAGAGATAATATCAAGAATGAAGTTATCCGAGACAGAGTGGGAGTATCCTCCTTGGAGGACAAGATGCGGGAGTTGAGGCTGAGATGGTTCGGACATGTTAAGAGAAGGAGCATTGATGCTCCTGTTCGGAGGTGTGAGAGGTTGGCCATGGCGAGTTTGAGAAAAGGTCGAGGTAGGCCTAAGAAGTGCTGGGAGAGGTGATTAGACAGGACATGGTGCTGCTTCAGCTCACTGAGGACATGACCCTTGATAGGAGGGTGTGGAGGTCGAGGATTAAGGTAGAAGGTTAGTGGGTAGTTTTTAGTTACTCACCGATAGTCTTATTAGCACGCATGTCCCTTTATATTCTTAGATTCTTATTACGTTATGTGGTTTTGTTCACCTAGGTATTGTATTCTCTATTGTTATTATTTAATACTACTTATCCTTTATTTCTCCCTTTTTCTTTTCTCTTCTTTCTTTCTCCCTTTCTTGCTTTCCTCTTCTTCTTATTACCCTTCCTGAGCCGAGGGTCTATTGGAAACAGGCTCTCTACCTGTTAGGTAGGGGTAAGGTCTGCGTACAGACTACCCTCCCCAGACCCCACCCGGTGGGAACATACTGGGCTTGTTGTTGTTGTTAAATGTTATTCGTTATTGTCCAATCTATTAGGCATACACTAACTCTGAATAGAGTAGTACCTTTTGATAAATCAAAACAATAAACAAATTACATTGATCATAATAATTATATCAAGATTAGGAGTATAAGGTCAATTAATGAATTGGAGAAAATATTTTATATATTCAGTACAAAAACATCTTTTCTCTACTTGGTCCGTTCAGTATACACTAAGTATATTAGCACAAGAAGTCGGAGTAAAACCAGTCCTATAATCAAAACAAATTATACTATAATTTTGTGCTACAATCATCAAGATATTTTGTCCAACAATATCTTTGATACTGAACATAGTTTATTAATTATGAGAACCAACAATTTAATCTTCTGTGCATGAGCTAAGACTCCATACATTACATTGTCTACTACATAACTAAAAGGACAGACATGTAACAAATGATTTATTTAAATAGTACTTTATTGAATTGAATAAATTAAATAAACAATTGTTCCATAAAGAATAAAACAAAATACTATGTCTAAACCGCATGGTTAATAGTGTATCCCAACAAATCCTTCACCAAAAATATTTAGTTTGGAATGCATGAGATTCTGATGAAAAAAGTATGGATAATTAGAGAGCTCTTAAAATTTGGGTTATTATTTATTAGATTAAAAATAAAAAATAAAAATATGGAATAAAAATATATTACCGAAAAATTATATTTTTCTGTCATTATGGTTTGTGTGTGAGTTAATGAAAATTTTATGTGAAAAAATATAGTTATATAACATTGGTAAAACATGTCTAGTTATAGTTATGACCATTTGTGAAAGGCCATAATTATATGACCAGTGATTGAATTTGCTCTTAATTTGACAGTTTAAATATACTTATGATTCACGTGATCGATAACAAATGATGTTACAGAACACTAATAAATAATGTCCTTTCTGCAAGTCGAAAGGACCATATTCGAGCGATCGATGTTGCCACCTAAAAGGCAAGGAATTAACCAACCCTACACTACGGCATCAGCACTAAGCCACTGTCCTAAAACCGGCCTACCCGAAAACGAACAAAGGATAGAAAGACAAAAATAACTTAAAATTATATAACGGGTTCCTACATTCTACAGCTCCTTAACTCATAGATCCTAACAAAACTTATCCTATCACTGTTTACCTCGAAAAATGTGAGTGACAATTAAAAATAATTTGTGGTTTTAAAGATATATGATATATTCTAATAATAGTGATTATACAAGTAATATTAAGCTTAAGTAAGTAGAATTGCTGAACCAAATTAGTGTTGTTGGAGCAATATGGGAGCTTGATTACCCCAGGGACCTCGAGGTCAGCTTAGAACAATAAAGTAAAGACCATAAAGCTGAAGAACAATTGTTGAACACGTTAAACAAGGAAAGCAGAGTAGAATGTTCTATTGCAGAGTAGAATGTTATATAGGAGGGGAGAACCCTAATATGGTACATTTTCAATTATGATAAAGAATCCTATTGGTACAGCTGTATAACAACCCAGTACGGACTTGTACTATTTCGTACAAATCTTATCCTATAATTTAAGTCTTGGCCCACGTGTTCTTGGAAATTCCCGCTCTTTCTTGAGTACCCTCGATCGTGATAGGCCTTCGATCTGCTTCCTCGAGGTGTGTGTCCTTCAGTCGGACCCGACCTCCATTTCGAGTCGCCTGGATTCGGACTCATAGCTCAACTTAAGACTACGAAATCGGCTCTTTGATTTCGACCGTATACAATCACCGAATATATACTCATACCCAAACACAGCAAAAAGAACAATACTGCATATAATTATAAGAGAAACAAATAATAATTAGAGCAACAAAGATTAAATAAAGCTTTTGATAATAGTCAAAGTTCTTCTTCTACTTCAAATTTGAATACAAAAGGGTGTTCTTCTGGTTTAATATTGTATTTATTTATGTGATTCTGAAGTATCAAAAGCTATAAATTCGTGAAGCTATGCAATATGTTTGGTAGGTAGGACTACTAATAGTTTGGTTCAGCTGGTTATTTTAAGTTTTTTTTAATTATTCTATTATATATTATCAAAATTAGACTTTTCAAAATTTTCTCAATCGTCTTGATTTCTTGTTGGTATTGATATGGTTTGGTTATCTTTCAATGTTCTTTTTAAAACGTCACGTAATATTCGTCCGTCATTAATTACTATGCAGAATAATAACAAATTTTAATATAACACATATAATATAAATTTGTTTACCCCAAAAATGAGTAACAATTAAATATATATGTGATTTAATTCAATATGAATGATTAAGAACAATATGTAAATGAGTAAAAGACAAAGTAAATGATCAAACCAATTGCAATGTAGCGACCAATCCTGATCTTAGATTGAATAGTGGAATTCGTCCTCGATTGGGCGCTCGGTACAAGCTCGGTCGCGAGTGAAGAAAAGAACAAATTAGCAATGCTTTCAACATTAACTAGAAGACAAAAGTAATCTTTTATTGCTTTGATTTGTGTGTCGCAATGTGTCAAAATAAAAAAAGAATCTTCCCCTTTATATAGTAGGGGAATTTCAGTCCTAGTACAAGTCTAAATAAGGTAAAAATCTTCTTTTTACGGTAAATGTTGATCCACAGTTGATACTGAATGCAATTCACGCCATAATATCCAGTTGGGGGCGAATATTATGGCCCCCAACTCGTCATGCATAACCGTTCAA